ATGGTTTTGCCATCAAGTCTAGGCTCCCCATATTGGTGACCCCAGGCACTCCAGGGATGGGACTGTCGCTAGGCCAGCCCGGAAGAAAGTTCTGGCTCGCTGCCACCACCCCAGCAGGGCTGTTGAGCCTCACTCCCCGTTCAGCCATTGCTGGTCGAGTGTGGGTGGGGCTGCAGTCTTCTATGGTGTTGGCTGGTGTAGAGCCACCGTTGCTTAAAAAATGTCTTGGTAGGGGTGCCTGGGTGGCTCAGTCGGTTAAGCATCTGACTCTTGATTTCGGCTCAGGTCATGATCTCAGGGTCTTGAGATGGAGCCCCACGTCAAGCTCCACGCTTAGTGCAGAGTTGGCTTGAGATTCTCTCCCTCTGCCCCTACCCCCACTCATGCACACACATGCTCTCTGTAAATAAATAAAATCTTAAAAAAAAAAAAATTTGTCTTGGTAGGCTGCCCTTTCCTTCTTCCTTTGGCTAGACAGGGCAGGCTTCTATTGTTCTTTTTTTCTTCTTAAATTGTGGTTAATTATGCATAATATGGAAGTTACCATTTTAAATCCTACAGTTCTGTGGTACTAAGTACATTCACATTGTTGTGTAGCCATCACCACCATCCATCTCCACATCTTCACCTTACCCAGCTGAAACTCAGTACCAGTTAAACACTACTCCCCTTTCTCCTCCCTCCCTAGCCCCTGGCAACCCCGTCTACTTTCCGTCTCTATGAATTTGACTGCTCTAGATAGCTCATATAAGTGGGATCATACAGTATTTGTCCTTTTGTGTCGGCTTATTTCATCGACCATAATGTCCTCAAGGTTCGTCCATGCTGTAGCATGTGTCAGAATTTCCTTCCTTTTTAAGGCTGAATAATATTCTGTTGTATATGTATATCACATTTTGTTTACTCATTCATCCATCAATGGATACTTGAGTTGCTTCCACCTGTTGTGAACAATGCTGCTCTGGCCACGGATGTACAAACATCTGTTCAAGTCCCTACTTTCAATTCTTTTGGGCATATCTCAAAAAGTGGAATTGTGGGATTATATGGTAATTCTAGGTTTAATTTTTGAGGAACCACCATACTGTTTTCTGCAACAGCTGCACAATTTCACATTCCCACCAGCAATGCAAACGGTTCCAATTCCTTCACATCTTCACCAATTTTTCTTTTTTTTAATAATAGCCATCATAATGGGTGCGAAGCGGTGTTGGTCTTCTTTTTTTTCTTTTGTCTCTGCCTGTAGGTGTTTCCATGTTGCTGTTTTCTTTGGCTCCAAGTATGAGATGTAGGAGGCAAAACAAAACTGGGGAACTTAACACTCTATCCTTCTTTGGGTCCCAAGGTCCCTAGTTGGTCTGCTGCTTTCTTCACTGTACCTTTCAGAGTCTTATGGTCTTTTTTAAAATGTATTTAACACCTAAGATTTTTAGTTGTATTTAGAGGGAAGGAATAGGAAAAGTCTATGTACTTTATATAGTAGATACACCATATCGAGGGAACCCTGAATCTCTTTAAATACACAGGTCTTCTCTCCATCTCCTTTTTTTTAACATGTTCTTCTGTGCCCGGTGTATCCGGGGGAGTTGGTGGTTAGACTTACAGACTTCATCAGATTCAGGTTAGTTTTTGGCAAGACCCCATCATAGGTGGGGTGTGTACTTCTATCACCAGGCATATGATACCTTTTTGTCTTTCTTTGGTGATACTACTCCTTCATTAGTTACTAGTTTTCCTTTTTAAAATTTTTCTAGTATCATCATGAGCTCATGAATTTATGTATTTCCAATCCATTGCTATTACTATTCTTGCTGATGTCCACCCCATGTCTAGCTACTAGCTTGAAGGAGCTTCTTTACATTCTTTTGACAGAGACCCAGGTATTTTTTTCAGTCCCTTGGATGTCCGGTATGAAAAGATGCTCCAGACTTATCTGGGACTATTTTTGCCCTAAATCTAGAGCCAGCCATTCTTCGGAGAGCTCTGGATCCTTCTGGTAGGAATTTAGAGACCACAATTTGGGCACTTAGGGGTGCTCACCTGTTACTGGCTTGGTCATTGTTTTTAGGCCTTTTCTGTAAACCAAGCTAGGAAATAAGTGTATAATAAGTGTGCATTTCAGATAAATATATCATGAATTCAAGTTGTATTTTCACATCAAATGCAGAATGAAAGAGTTTTAATTTAACCTCTTTGGTCTTAAAGATGCAACTTTTTTCCTCTTATGCCAAAAACTTGGTTCCCAATGATATCAGCATAATTGCTCACTTACCTTCTCCAGTAATAAACATACAAGAGTCTCAGAATAACAATACAATCTCACAAAAACAATACACTACTTCCACAAACAGAACAATTACTGAAAATGATTTTTATTAGCTAGTCATTCATTTACTTATTGCTTCTATTTTTTTGACTGATTTTTTATTATTCTTCTTTATTATGTTCAATTAGCCAACATATATATCATTAGTTTTTGATGTAGTTGCCACTATTTTTGTCCTTTGGGTATATCCTACTAGGAATGCATAGTGAAATTCCTATATCTTAAAGTCATTTGAAATAATTAATTCCTTTGTGTTTATGCCACCAATTTGATATAGTTATGTTCATTCCATTTTGCTTTTAATTTTTAAGAATTAAAAAATTATTTTGATAATTATGTAAATACCCACATGGCTTCAAAGCCAAATCTATAAAGCAAATTATACTTGGACAGGTCAATCTTCTAACCCTATCCCCTATATATCATTCTGTCTCTTACCTTACAGGTAATAATTGCAAGTTTTCGGTTTTCCTTTCCATCTAAAAAAACAGAAACAAAATTTACTTATGTATATATCATTCCCTTCTTAAATAATGGGTAACATACAATTCACTTTTCCCTGTCTTGTTTTTACTTATTTTGAAAATCATTCCATAGCAGCATACAGAGATAGTCTTAGTTCTTTTTTATAGCTACATAGTACTCTATTGTGTGGATGTACTGTACTTTATGCAAATGGTCCCACTGATGGAAATTAAATGCTTTTATCAATGGAGTTTCTATACTGCGTAACTCCATCACATGATTAAACAAGTCCCTATGGAGGGGCCTTTCAAGTTACATCCCTATTCTCAGCAGCCTTCTCCATGCAAGGGGCTGGCTCTATGTATGTACAGTACCTAGAGCTGGTTAGTTCCCAGGTAGCAAATATTCCTGATGAGATACTAACTAGAGGTGTTTTTTGGGTTTTTTTTTTTAAGATTTTATTTATTCATTTGGTGGTGGGGAGAGAGAGAGAGAAAAGTGTGCACAAGCCGGGGATGGAACAGAGGGAGAGGGAGAAGCAGGCTTCCCACTGAGCAGGGAGCCTGAGGACGGCAGGCCTTGACCCCAGGACCCTGGGATCATGACCTGAGCCAAAGTCAGACGCTTAACCGACTGAGCCACCCAGGCGTCCCCAACTACAGTTTTAATTCCAAAGTTACTCCAAAAAATTTTCCTGAGGGAGAGTAAGGAGTTCCTGTTTACCAGGTACAGAGTTTCTGTCTGGGATGATGAAGTCAAGTTCTGCGGATGGATGGTGAAGATGGCTGCACAACACTGCACGTAATGCCACTCAACCGCAGACTTAAAAAATTATTAAAATGGTAAATTTTGTACGTATATTTCACCTCAATAAAATGCTACTTTACTGTGTAACTTTATACCAAAATAAAACTTTTATACATAAACTAAATGAGATTTTTAATTGGGTACGAATGTGCTTGGCTGCAGGGTCAACAGTAGATGTCCGCAGTGAGGAGATGGCTCCTCTCTCCACTGTTGTAATAAATGAGGGCTGGTCACCTTCCAAGCTGAGTCATATCTGACATGGCATCTGTACAAATAACTCTCCAAGTTTAATGAAGAGATAGCAAGTTAGCACTTTCCAGACTTATGTTTATCTTACTACACGGTGACTTGAATTTTATGGTTTCTAAATAAGGCATTTATGACCAGGAAATCCAGCTCAATGACAAGGAGACAAACTGTTATATCCATTCCTGCTGATGTGAGAGTCAAGGTTTATTACACTGCACTGGGGAGGTCAGAGACTCGAGGCAAACTTACGTAGAGAATTTTCTTAAGCCCTAAATCTGGATCCACTAATTGATGGGCTGTAGACTCTGCTGCGTTGCCATCACGCTTCACCCTCTCTTCTTCATGACCTTGTTTCCACCCGTAAAATACAGCCTTACCACTGACTGAGAACATTTCAAAGACGCCAAAAGATCCTTGGCATCTGGGTGTTCAAGATGTGCATCACATTTTCTTTCCTCAACTGGTTATGTAAAAAGCAGCCTTTAAAACTCTTCAAGTAGGAAGAGCAGCTATTTTATTTTTTTGTGGAAAGACTCCTCTTCCTTTCATTACTGCAACTATATGGGGCTGGGTGACAATGAACTCACCTGCCAGTCGCAGGGCACCCCAGAGGCAGGACCAGCACCTGCCACGAGAGCTCTTTGTGACGACGCAGGTCGTGGAGAGTGTGTGCACACATGGGTGCCAATGCATTGCTGGGATCAATGACCACCTTGTCTCCAGTATTCATCTCAAAAGCAAGCAAGGAAGCTGATAAAGATGGAACTCTTGATAGAGTTGAAGAGGAAAAGCCAGAGGCAAAACAGGGTGTCTATGCATATTTAGCAACAACTAGTAGAATTCAGAGCCAGACCATGGTGCAATAGTGCATTTAGGCAAATCCTCTGGCAGATCTGATGCACAGACCTGCCTCTTGAAATCTGTATCATGGAAACATACACAGGGGCAGACAAAATGCTATAATGATTCCCCATGTACCCAACCTCAACTTCAGCAATTACCAACACTTGTCAATCTTGTTTCGTCTACCTACCCTCTTTCTTTCTCCTTCCTCCAGTATTTTAAAGCAAATTTCATATACCATGTTATTTCAACCCCCAAGGAATCCAATATCCTGTCCCTCCTAGGGCTATTAAATAATGAATACCCAATATTCACTACCAGAAAATGAGCAATGTTATTTTTAATACAGATGGGGTACAGAATGTTTAATTACAGCAGGGCAGAGATTCTAGTTAAATAAAATTAAAAACCTTTATTTTTTCCAAATATAAAATTACTAAATTAATGTCTCAAAAGAAAATATAACATGGTGAAAGCTTTAAATTACACCACTATTCACCACAGGATTTATGATTTACCAATTACACACTCCACCACTTTGGCAAAAGGATGAAATTTTTAAAACAGTTTACAAACCTAACATAGCAAAGACTGTGTACATCTCCATATTGCACTTTTTTATGTACAAGGATAAGACAGGAAGGTCAAGTGTATTGTATTACTAAGAGCGGCACAAGTTTGTCACAACTGAACTTAATGCAGAAGCTGATGTGAGGAGTATTAAAAAATGTAGAAATGTAATACACGTATGTACAGAATGCGGAGACTGTATTAACAAACTCTATGTACATAACAATATACTGTACTACTTTTAAATTTTTAGCATAGTTTTGTTTGTTAATAGAGGCCTTTGGTTCTAAACTGCCTGACTAGTTTTAAGCTCACATAGTTTCTTAAGCTTTCATATTTTTTTAAATGCAAGTACATGAGTATAAAAGCACTAAACCTCCTGGCTCACTGGTACAAAAGTTACAATGGTCAGTTCCCTTAGGTCATCAAAAACTAGTCACAAAAATAGTTCTTGTATTCAACCTGAATGTGCCACAGGAAAAAAATATTTTCAAGATTTTCCAGCTTAGCCTAGAGGCGGAGATTACTCCAGCCTCAATTTCAGTGCTACTGTCCCTGCTATGTACATTCCAGAACACTTGTTTTCTCTAGGCCATTTACTTTACTGCTACTCTGTAAGGAAGAATAAAATTTCACTCCGGCTTAAGAGAGTCCACTACACACCTCTGTTAAGACAGAATGAAAACTTTGAATATTGCCAGCAAGATTTAAAAAAATATGTGTACCCTCTTATGACTCCTCTAGAAAATCTGCTACGAAATAGCACATTTCTTTATTTCCTTTTTCTCCCATTCTCCTTCACTTCTCCTTGTGCTCGGTCTTCCCCATGTCTTCAACGAGCCCAGTGATTAGCTTTGGAAATCATCCTGAGTTTGCAAATGACAAGTCCCCACAGGCGGCCCATGAGGCAAAATCACACAACTGAGGACGAGCTGGTCATCCCGTGAACCATGGTGCTTGTTGGAGTCCCACTGATGGCATTGAAGATGTGAATGGAATTCGGTAAAACGCTCGTCTTCTCCTCCAGCGGGCAAATCTTGAGGCACAGAAACACAACATTACCCAAGTGTCATGCCCCTGATGATGTTTCTCAATGACAACGTCTATTCCCCAATGGTCACTGTTCCCCTGAATGATGGTATGCTCAGGGAGCTTGGCTTTGGCGGTTTGCAGAGGGACTGTGTCAGCTCAACTAGCAAGTGGCCTTTTTCAGATCAGGATTGCAAGGAGAAAGTCAAGCACAACAGGCTTTGTTTCCTTTACAAAGCCTTCTAGACTCACCAGATTATAAGGCGGTGAAGTCTATCTTACACATACTTGGCAGGGACACGACCTAGTCCCGCCCCTTGGAAAAGTCTTTTAAAAAATGAATCCTGAGCATCTGTTTCTCTATTGGCTCCTTTTCTCAGGGCCTTATGGATTTCCATCCTGGGAAGGAGATATAGCAGCTGCCTCTCTGACCCCTCACACTCAGTAATGCAGGGGAGAATTCTAAGGGCAAGACTTGATCTACTGCCAGGTGGCAACTGAGAAGAACATACACATTCGGAGGCTCCCCTGAAAAAGCCCAAAGCGAGTCTACTCCAGGTCACAACCCTTTTTTGCTTGAGGGTTAAAAAGAGTTTAATCTTCCCAGTTGTTGAGATAATGGAAAGTTCAAGGTGCAGTTTCAAAGAGCACAGCCCTGTGTTAAATGTCCAAGTAACATGGGAGTTTACTTCAACATTATCAGTCCATACGTTTTTCCTACTTTCATCTCTTCTCGTGCCAAATGCTGATACCCACTGCTCAAACTGTTATACAGGAATCTGCAAGCTGTGTGGAAAAGACCTCGAGCTTTCTCCAGAAACTTGTTTCCATGAGACCATCCCTTTCTGCTTAATTATTCACACATTTATTTCTTTCATCATTTCCATTTTTTTCTACTTTCCTAAAGGTCCAGAAGAGGGTGCCTCCCTTTGCACACACACTGTCCTTATGCCAACGTCTGCAGTTGTTCAAACACAATCCTAACTTTATGTGAGGCAGTCTACTGAGGTTCAGAAAAATAAAACTGAAAAATGACATTACCATCCCATCTGATTGTGTCAGCATGGAGGAGGGAAAAAAGCAAACACGTGAGCACTTAGACATTTAAGTTACTTTCCTGTGACAGAAATTTCCAAATTAGACCATCACATGACACGTTAACTGACACAAGTGGGCCTGGCTTCCATTTGCAAGACTGAAAGACCATTATGTAGGGAACAGACAAAAGTTGTTACATACGATGGAGGTGCTAACATTAATTATGAAGACTGGCACCATGACTCGGAAGAAGTCACTGTGGTTGATGGAGAACGGACCCCTAAGAAAGCAATACTCTTATCAGCCGCTCTCTGACATTCACTTGGCTGCCCAGCCAACTGTCCCCTCTGACTGCTGAGCCCACATTCATAATCCTACTGAAAGGAACTCCTACAGGAAGGTGATAGGGCAGTGTAACCGGGAAAGATGCCCATCACGACGGGAGTCGCCATGAAGAATCCACCGGGGCACCCAGGTCAGTGGTAAATAGCCAAAAACTGAACAACTCTATTTTTTTAAGTGGCAAAAGACATTTAATGCCACAGAAAATTCCTTAAACTAGGCTGGGAAATCCTGGTCTTTCAAAGGATTGGGTGAATGAAAAAAATTTCCAGAAACAACATGGGTATTTCTTTCTTACGTGAGTTTCGTTTTGTTTTGAACTAGATTAGGGTGGGGAGGGACAGAGCTTTGGACCACGGCCACCTCTGAGAGTGACAAAAGGGAGGTGGGCGCTGCTCTCCTCTGGTCGTACTGGCTGATATCAGGTGGGCGAGTTGTTAGCCATTCCCCAAGTAAACTGTGTTCAGAAAGGAGCAGCATGTAGCATGCTACATTCTTCTTCAGATACCAAAATTCTAGAAGGTTTAGGCCACTGCAGGGTATATTTGAGACCCCAACTAATGTGTGCTTGCTCAAAATGAGAACCCCAGCACGGCACCTACCTGCTCATGCATGATTTCAGACAGTTCTTTCGCCATCTCCCTGTAGTTGGCCTTCATTTCTTCCTGGTACTCTAACTGGTCCTCTTTGATCAGCCGCTCATTTACCGCTAAGGCTTGACCACAAGCCTCCACAAATTGCCTAAAATGGTGTGAGAGAGGGAAATAAAGGCATGTTGAGGACAGAGTGAGTCCAACTGGTAGTATCTCTTTCTTGAATGAGCACAGAAATGACTGATATTTGAAGAGAGAACGACATTTCCAGTGTGCTTTACCTGAAAACTTCTTTAAGCAACTTCACTTTGTTGTCAGGGTATCTTTTTGTGTTTGTGTCATCTAAGAAAGCTCGGGCATATGCTAGTGGGCCTGCGTTGACCTAGATAAAGAACAAAGATTTTAAATTACGTTATAATAAAAATGACCATTATCACTGATTTGGTTTCAGTTGGCAGGTTCTAAAAATGCCATCTGAGTTAGTCATGAACCCGTCCTCAAGGAACTGACAGCCCAAAAGAGGAAACCACGAACAAAGCTTATGTTATTATATGTCATTTGATTTTTATCCACTTAGACATCATCAGGGCACTTGAGTGATGGCTCATTTTATGAAGGAAGAAGCCAAGTTTGGAAAACGGAACCATGTGTTCAAGGCTGAACCTCCAATAAGTAAAACACCTAAGATCAGAGCCCAAGTCTCCCAACTGGTATTTGTGCTACTCTACACTAGTGAGGTTCAGTGAAAAACTGAAGAATATAGTATATTGGCCAGTTTTTAAAAACCAATCGTTCGCCTCCTTGAACTCCGTAGACAGCCACGAGCAAACTGACTTGCTACCTTCAAATGAAGTAACCACGTGAAGTATGCTGGAACGCCAAAGATTAGGGGCATTTAGCAACAGGGGGAGTGAACCAGAGCCCTGCACCTCTCGATTCGCCAAGAAGAGTTCTCTGAAGCTGGGTAGGTCAGGATACAGGGGAATGTGGAGAGCAGGAAGGTTAGACCCACTGGGTGGGAAGGAGAAAGTCCCAGTGAGAAACAACTAGACCACGTGATTACTGCATCACTTTTCCTGCGAGGTCTGGTGGGCTCAGAAGGCAAGTAAGTAGGGAGGGCTGTGTGCTCTGTCAGTGCTGATGACGGAACTGGGCTGTGGTTCTGATCCACGGTGGGCAGGACTTGTGCGGTAATGGCAGGAGAACCAGAGGCGGGGAGACAGAGGGCCACAGTGGTGGGAAGTGGGCCCTCTGAGACGAACAGCTAGCTAACCTTCGGTGGTGACTGCAGGTGTCATCACACTGGTGTTGTGTGGGGAACTATGTTAATGACCTGGACATGACCCAAATGACTAATTATCCAAAATGACACAATCCACTCAATTTTAAGGATATACAAAGAGGAAAGTTGATAAGACTTCGTAAGGTCTAACACAGCCAGATCTTGGAGCACAGAGTCACACAGCCACCCTGACGGCTCTGTCCTATATAAGAGCAACCCCAGCGAGGCCCTTGGTGAAAGAATTACAGAAATAAAATGGTAAAGTTAATTTCCTCTGGCTGCAACTTTGTTGTTACCTTAGTGGGCACACATGTATAAAAATCTCATCATGGAATGATGATCTTTGCTTTTTAAGATGATTGGGTATTTACTTATGTTTTAAAGATTTACTTATTTATTTGAGAGAGAGAGAGAAAGAGAATGCAGGGGGAGGGGCAGAGGAAGAGGGAGAGAGAAACTCAAGCAGACTCCCCATAGAGCGCAAAGCCTGACGCGGGGCTCGATCTCAAGACCCTGAGATCAGACCTGAGCCAAAACCAAGAGTCAGACACTCAATTGACTGCGCCACCCAGGTGCCCTGATGATTGGCTATTTATAACTCTAAGGCCACTGTCAAATGGAAGGGCACATTTTGCCCTTTAGAAAGCTCAACCTGTCCAGCCACACCCTTTACTGGCGCCCACACGCCTCTGCTCGCGTTCTGATAGAGGATGTTACCAGGCTATGTTACTGAGTGGTTTTGTTTTTTAGCTGTAGAAAATTGTGGCCTTTGACCCCATTATGTAATCATGTTGCCAGAATATTTATCATATTCACTTGATAACTTATTTTGGTACTTAAGTCTTTCAGGGCATGAGGTAAGAGGTTGAAACATCTGTAAGTACTTTTGTGGTGAAGGACATTTCAAAAACATTAGGCAACAACCCAGTGTGGATTTGATAAAAAGGTGACAAGAACTGATTTCAAAAAATGAACCAAAAAACCCCTAAAACTTAGATATTACAATCCAAATGCAACTTTCATAAATGCACCCTTTTGAAAGAGAAAAGAATTAGATATAAGGATATGTGTATGTGTGTATGTAAAATATATGCTAGAGTTATTTGTATATACTTAAAAATCAATAAAGCAAGAAGCATACTAATCACTGGAAGGAGGTGATTTAACATTTACTAATTTCCTAGGAAATCACATAAGTAAAATACCAGTTATTTTGAAGTATGATATACAAACCAAAAGGTACATATGAGTGTATAGCTTATTGAATTTTCACAACTAAACATATATATATAATCAGTACTTAGATCAAAAATGATCTTTTCCATAAATGGTGCACATTGCTTGGATAGCTACTCGGAAAAAAATGTATCTTGGCTCTTATCTGTTACCACATACAAAAATCAAATCTAGGTGGATTGCAGATCTATACAGGAATGCCAAACAAAGGAAGGAAACATAGAACATTTCTGAGACAGATTTTAGAACCAAGTTCTTACTGAGGACACAAAAATGCTACCAAGTAAGGAAAAATGAATTAATTGAGTTATATTAAAATGAAGAATTTCTGCTAATCAAAACACACCATTAAGAGAGTGAAACTTAAGGTACTTTTTCAGAAATAATTTTCATAGAAACCAGAAAACATACATCTTACAAGGAAACCTACAGCTTCCTTATATTTAAAAGAGTCTTAATGCTTCTGGTTAGGCCCCTGGAATTCCCCAAATTGAAAGAACAGGTTAATATGGAGAACTGGCTCCAGCCCCTAGCAGAAAGCTCAGTGGATACTCTTACAAGGGGGGTTGGGTGGGGGTCCTCAGTCTACTGCCCCCCCCACCACCCTGGTATCAGGAGAAACCACACAGATACTGGAAGGTAAATGGGATCACCAGGTAAGCGACACTCGACCTGGCTGGACTTGAAATTTACCAAGGTCCAGATGAGCCTTTGCACCTGTTACCCTTGGTTTGCTCTGTCCAGTGCTCGCTCACCTGAACACTCACGCTGCCTTGCAGTTTGAGCTGCAGTTTGATCATGTCCACTTCAGCTGATGAGCACAGCTGCCGGAGCTCGGCCACCTTCTTGCTCATCTCGTCAATGGCCACTTCGATGGGGTTGAGGTCAGTGTGGTGCTGGTACATGACGGGGATCCGCTTCTTCACATAAGGGAAGCAGTGTATTGCTGTGGAGGAAGGAGTCCCAGAATCATTCTGCAGCTTGCACAATCTTTACTGTTACTGAGGCAGAAGTACTTAATATTCTCATTTTAGAGATAAGGAACCCAAAGCTTGCCAAAGGCACAGGCCAGTATTTTGTGGAACCAGACTATTGTCTTCCTTTATCACTGTGTATGTTTAATGACAGGCTGTATCATGTGAAGTCAAGAGAGCTGGGTCCTTGTTAACCTTTAATGTGAGAAGCGTGTGTTTGAAGAAATCACTTTATCATTCTCTGCTCAATTTTCTTAACCATGAATGCTTTACCTTCCTTGGAAGTTGTGAGATCTGAAAGAGTAGTAGGTAAAAGATGGCTTGGAAGATATAAAGAACAGTACCCAGTTCTGAGATATCACAGATTTTAAGTCCAGAAAATTGTTCCATAAACATATCCTTGAGAAAATTCATTTCTCTATAGAACTTTGAATCACATGCTTGAGTCTGCACAAACCAGAGAAATCCATGAAAAATAACAAGTGAGAATGTATTTCCCAGCAAAGTATTTTATGAACCAGAAATTCACACACTAATAATAAGGTATTTTGAAACATAAATGAATAAAAAACAGAAATAAGGAAGCCTGCTTCTCCTTCTCCCACTCCCCCTGCTTGTGCTCCCTCTCTCGCTGTGTCTCTGTCAAATAAATAAATAAAATCTTAAAAAAAAAAAAAAACAGAAATAAAAATATTTACTTTTCTTATGCTTTTTTTTCCTACAAAAAGCCAATCAGTATTTTTTTCATTTATCATAACAAGATACCTGAACCTATCAACACCAAAGAGTTAGTTTAAAAATGAAGAAAAACAGATGGTTCTAATTTGGGTCTGTTTCACATTTTTTAACTTGTTGCTTTACATGATGTATAAATATCTATAATATTTTTATTTAATATATATATTTATGGATAGACATGAATATATATGCTTAATAGCTTATTTTATTTTTTAACTAGCAAAGGTAAGGTGGGCGTGTTGTTTTTGGATCACTATTTAGTAAGTGGCTGGGGAGAGTTTACTTAGGATAAAATGAGAAAACAGGGCCAGTGCCATTTAGCACAGTTCAGGACCATCCAGAGTCTAGAAAAGCGGGAGGTGTTCAGCCTGCTGCAGCCTCAACTGTCACACCCTTATAGGCCTGTTCTAGTCCCTAAATGTTTGTTTGTTTTTTTTAAACCAATCTAAGGCCAAAGGTCTATGTCTCCTATTTCTTCTGCAGTCCTTGTAGATATAGCTTTTGAGTAGCAGCACTGGGATTGATAAGTCCTCTTTGAACCTAACACTTCTTTGATAGTGAGACAAGAACTGGGCGTGGCTGGATGTGGACAGAAAGCACTTCAGAGATGAGTGTCCTTGCAGTGGATTTGTACGAAGTACTGTGGAAGTGTTTCATGAGGCTAATAGCCATATCAAAAAACATGTGGTTAGTGTAATCACAGTATTTTTGAGTGCTGTGTTGCAACAGCAGCATTGTTGAAGAGAGAAAAACTAATTCCAAGGATGTTTGTGAGGTGTCCATGGACTATACGGATTTCACTCAGCGTGAAAGTCCTGAGTCTTGTGATGGTAACTGGAGACGTGGAGGAGCAAAGGAGAGTCCGATAATACAGAAAATGCAGAGCCTGTACCTGAGGCCACCAGGCCCATGTGAGCTGGGATGCCCTCTGCCTTCCTTTCGGGCCCCATCTTTCCTCCTCTCCCTCAGAGTCACTCAGCTCCAGCCACGCCAGCCTGCTGGTCGTCCCCTGAATGTGCTGAGTACAAGCAGCCCCGCCACTGACCTTGGCCCTGACAGCCCTTCTTCCTCCAGATGTTTGCATGGTCTACCCCCTCACCTCCTTCAAGTCTGGACTGGAGTGTCATCTCCTCAGTGAGGCCTCCCCGGGCTGGCCCATTTAAATTGCAACCCTCCCCAGTCAACCTCACATGTTTGCTCTCCCTTTGCTTTTGTCTAGAACACACATTCACTTCCAACACAGGTATGTTCACCATTATGTGTACTGCTTACCATCTGTCTCCTTCTGCTGGAAGATCAACTGCGGAGACCTCTGTTTTGTTACTATGCCAGGTTGGAACACTGCCAATGCTCCACACATTTTGTTGAATTCATGAATGTGTTACTGCCCAAGTGGCTAAATGAAAGAGCAAAGTGGCCTGGAAGGTAGAGAATTAGATGACTGACTGAGCGAGTCATCATGTTACTAAAAAAATGACCGGCCCTTGTGCTGGGCAGCCCTTCCAGAAGGAGGATGGGGAGAGGTGGCTGAGAGGTGTGGCTGCCTGTACAGTCTGGTGAGCCTGAACAGAACGCGAAGAGCAGGAGAATATTTCTGCCCCTAGTGGGAGTCTTGGCAGGATTTGGAAGACTCTGGAATAGTGACTGGAAAGAACCTCTACAGCAGGAGTTCTACAACAGGAGGAGAGGAGGGGGTCAGCAAGAGGCCTGCAGGGTGATCACTAGGTTTTCCAAATGATCCCACAACTGCAGTGCACTGACTGACCTATCCAGGGAAGTGAGCCCTTGCCGGGTTCCGAGGGCAGGGAGAGCCAGGGCTCCCCCACAACTTGGACGGTCAAAGGTCTGGTTTGAAGCAAAGCAATGAAGAACCTAAAGGATTAATAACTAAGGGAAAACTCTCAAGTTCAAAGTCTTCAGAATATCCTGGTCTGTGTATCTTTAACTGAAGGTTGATATAGAACTTATGTGCTTTTAAAGATTTTATTTATTTATTTACTTATTTATTTCTTTTTTAAATTTATTTATATATTTAGAGCTCACACAAGTGCAGGGAGAGAGATAGGGAGAATCCCAAGCAGACTCCCCACTAAGCGTGGATCCCAGTGAACGCTATCTCATGACCCTGCGATCATGACCTGAGCCGAAATCAAGAGCTGAACACCTGACTGAGCCACCCAGGCGCCCCTAGCTTATGTGTTTTTAGTAGCATTTTTCAACCGTTCTCTAAATCTTTATGCTACCCAAAAACTATGCTTTTGATATTTTGAGATCATTCAGGGTAAAAACTGTATTTTTTTTTTTTTTTTTTTGGTGTTTTGTTGTACTGTAATATCCTCTGGCTCATCAGCAGCCTTAAAAGGCAAGGGGCTCAATGGTGGATAAGATCCAGCATAATCCAGCAAAATAAAGTACATTCTTTCCCCTCCTGGGTATAATTTACAAAATTCTTTAACACAAGATGGATAGTCTAACCCTCATTTTATAGATGAGGAAAGTAAGGCATAGGGAGAGGGTAAGTGACTTGCCCAAGATCACACAGTTGAGTACGGACCCAGCTCTGCAGGACCCAGGTCCAGGCTCTATTCCGCCCACAGGGTCTCATCCTCACAGCCGAGCCAATGACCCGGGGGGCTATTCGCAGTGGTGATACTCTCTATTCTTTTCTGGCAGGCAGGGAGCTTGGTTCTTGTTTAGCTAATCAAAAATACTTCTGTGACCAAATGGTAAACTGTAACCCTGAAGAGAATCTGGCCAGAAAACACCCTATGGTAATAACTGTTTATGGATCAGTAATGCTACCTGAGTGGACTCATCCTAATAAAAAATCCTAACCCTGACTTATCAGTGAACTTGGTTTATTTTGAAGCAGCAATGCTCAAACAGAAGAGGCACCAGAATCACCCAGGGGCTTGTTCAACACAAGCCCCAAACCCAGAGTTTCTGATTCAAGAGACTGGGTGGGGCCCAAGAATCTGTGTTTCTGCTAAGTTCCCAGGTGATGCTGATGCTGCAGGTCCAGGATCAGTGTGATAAGCACTGATTTAAAGTCATAACAGCTAGAGAGATACATATCCTAAGCTAGCAAAGTGACTCCACCTAAAAATGGAGTTGTCTTGTCTAGTAAGAAGAATTTGCTACGTGTCCATTAGAAAAACAACTCACTCACATCTGGGGAGGGGACACCACTGTCGAGGACAATACTCTTTGTGTTTTACATGTTATCTTTACTCTAAAAGCAGGAGTAGGGACCCTTTAAGAATGCAGGCTTTTTATTTTTTATTTTAACTTTTATCTCAGTTCCTTCCTAGGAAGGGTAAAAAATTCTGTGATACGCTGTTCCGAGCTATTTTACAATGAGTCATAGTCTTGGGTAATAGCTTTACTGAGATACAAATTCACCCATTTAAAGTGTCCAATTCAGTGGTGAGAGCAGAGCCGCATGTGAAATGCGGCATCTTAACGGTGTTCCTTCCACTCGTCATTACAGGGTTCCATATTAGTGACCAGGCAGAACACCCAGCAACACTGACTTCAGGACAAGCAATGGGCACCTTCCTGGTTCAGCTTAATGATCACTCTTTGAAACAGTAGACGTAGACACACCTGGCTTTCTGAGCAGGCCTCCTCACTGATTTTTTTTTTTTTTAAAGTCAAGAAAGTGTTCTCTTTTGGGTTATCCCAGTCATGCTACTGACTCTAACCTAAGAGCGGATGATCCAGCTCCCCCAGAGAAGGTAAAAATGACTCCCAGATGACTCTACACTGTCAGGAACTGGGAAATGATGCAAAACACATTTCTGAGAATGGGTTATCGATGGTTACAGTGTCAAAGAATCTATTAAAACTCAGTCACAGCCTAATGGATAGCCTCTGAATGTAGTGAGCTTCCTTGCAGTGGAGGTATTCAAACTGAGGTTGGCCAGCCACTCTCAGAGATGAGGTGGAAGGACTCCAGCCTCATATCCCATTTATTCACTCAGCCTACAATCCCCGAGCAGGTTCATGCTGGGACCTATGTGATAAAGATACATAAGGGGTCCCTTCCTGTGAAGGAGACATGGAACTGTGTGCAGGGGCTCTTGGGGCCCTGGGCCTAGAGAGGCCTACAGAGGGGTCCACATGGGTTTCAGAAGGAGCCTGTAAATCACCTGAAATTGTGTGCAAATGCACTCTGAGGAGATAAGGACCCACTATTTTCATCCGATTCTAAAAAGGGTCAGTGACTTGATTTTGGATATGAACTTATGGTCTAGTAGAAGAAGAAAGTGCTAACAGATAAGTACAAAACTGCCAGGAGTGTTCCAAAGTAAGCATTACATAAACGTCAAACTGAAATGGACATGTGAGGAAAGTTAACGAAGCTTGAAGGGCCTTCCATTCTAGAAGTTCCTGGGTCCCTTGTGGAGAGCTCTTTATCTTGGTGTCCAGGCTAACGTCTGTCTGGACGTGATCTTCAAGGAAGAAGCAGGGAAACTGTACCTGTCAGTATGGTGCGCCGTTTGCACTGCTCCTCAACGCCGCCCTGCCTCTTCCCAGTCTGAGTGAAGGGCATCTCGAACATGAAGCGGCGAATGTTATGGGACCTCTCAAACTCCGTCTTCCTTTCTTGCAATTCTTTCTCATCAAAGAATGGAACCACATGAGTCACCTGGATGTATGCATACTTGGAATCCAGATCCTTAGGGTTGACCTTTAAATGAATTAACAAAATGGGAGACTGGTGCTATTGGAAGGACTCTTTCCAAGCATCCCTAAGCTTGTCTTTCCACTTTTTATCAATAAAGGATTTGGAGGGGCGCCTGGGTGGCTCAGTCAGTGAAGCGTCCGACTCTTGATTTTGGCTCAGGTCATGATCTCAGGGTTGTGGGATCGAGCCCTCCCGTCACCCTCCCCCCACCCCATCCCTCAGTCAGCTCCACTCCACACTACTCAGCCGGGAGTCTGCTTGTCCCTCTCCCTCTGCCCCTCCCTGTACTCACACGTGCGGACGCATTCTCTCTCTCTCAAATAAATACATAAATAAAATCTTTTAAAAAAAGAAATAGAAGATTTGGAAAAATTTAGAAAAGTTGAAATAGTACAACAGTCACATACTCACAACTTAGAACAATTGCTAATGCTTTGTTTCAAATACACACGTGCATATACACATATGTGGATGGATACTTAGACATATACAGACATTTTTTTTAAGCTGAACCATTTCAAAGTGGTATCCATCATGCCACTTCAGCCAGCATCTCCTAAACATGAGGACATTCTCCTTCGTGATAATATATTATACTTAATAAAATTAACTTAATTCTGTAATTATCACTCAGTACACAGTCCATTAAAGTTTCTCAAATGTGGCTATTTGTGTTTGAACCAGAATCTAATCAATGATCAAATGTAATCTAGAATTCTCCACCTTTTTTTCATGACATTGAATTTTTTTTTTAAGACATCACACTAGTTTTCTTGCTGAATAACGCCCTGTGTGGATTTTTCTGCTGGTTCCTGAACTGTATTTTTATATATTTGGCTTAGAGGGAAAAGTGTTTATTTTAGTAATAATGTTTAACACCTAGAACCTCAAATTATAATTAATCTGTAAAAAGATTAGATGTAAACAGACGTGGATGAATTAATTTAATACAGATACAGACTAAGACTCATCTAACCGGAAATTTAGCTCCTGATTGACTCAGCACATAAATGCTTTTAGAACTGCATTGCTAACATCTGTGATGTACCAGAACATGAAACACAGGCATTTCCCACACAAGCACAATAGCTAATTTATTAGGGAGACAAGTCAATTTTGCACAAATGAATTGTATTTAAGCTTGTAGAGCAATAAAAGGAGGTCTGACAGAAATGACTGCAGAGAATTTGGAGAAAATTCTGGAACTGGGGCCAGCAAATGAGGCCAAGAAGATTTAGCTGGTCTCAAGTTGTCAGGCACCACTGTCCTCTCAACAGGGATGTATGTGAAGAAAAATGAAAAATAGATGGAATGTGCCTAAAACTTTGGAATTTAAGAAAATACAAAATGTCATGAGTTATTACTTCTATTTTAGAAACAGCCATCTGGCCAATCACTATAACTGTCCTCAAACCTATGAAATGTAACTCTCCTTAGCAGAAACAATTTAAAAGCAGTGGAAATGCACGTGCTTGCCTATTTCTTCAGGGGTATTTCCCTAGTCTTCATTTCCAAAGTTGTATGTACATATCAGTAGGAGGAGCAGAGGATAGGTGTTTGGGGGCAGAAGATCGCACGAGAGCCCCGAGAAGAGGTTATAATGTTAAAGCCACAACTTGACCTGGACAAAGGTTTCGGTTTCAGAGAAAAGCAGCCAATCAGATGTGAGTAGTCTGGTCTAAGAAAAAAGGAGGTCTTCATAAGGTTGTGTTGAGGTTTCTGGTTAAAAACAGACCAACAGTGTGTGTTTATCCCTTTTCCTTTGTGCAACTCTGTTAAAATGCAGTACAGAATTAACCTGTGAGGACCAAGGAAAGAGGAGAGAAGACAGCAGTGGGTGAGAGCGTTTACTGAATTTCTAGAAGGCGCTTGAATGGAGGTGTGCTACCCAACTTGGCAGAGACACTGTTTTCCCATGCAGGTAGGACAAGGAAGAGTTCTGAGGAAAACAGCACCCAGTAACAATAGAAGTTCTAGTCTTAAGTTCCCACAGAGAGGAGTAACCAGTGAGAGCACTTCTCAGAAGCCTGCTGCTACGGACTGAACATCTGTCCCCCCCAAATTCTCAGGGTGAAATCTTAACCTCCAATGTGATGGTATTGACAGGGAGGAGGTGATTAGGTCATGAGGGTGAAGCCCCCATGAATGGGATTCATGCCCTTATAATAGGGGCCCCACAGAGCTCCCTCACCCCATCCACATGTGAGGACACAGTGAGGAGACGGTCGTCTGTGAACCAGGAAGAACTCACCAGGCACAGAATCTGCCGGCGCTTTATCCCGGACTTCCCAACTGCTGCAACTATGAGAAATTTCTGTTGTTTATAAGCTGTCCAGTCTCTGGTGTTTGTTACAGCAGCCTGAATGGACTGAAGTCCACAGAGGGCTAGCAATAGGATTAGGGTGACTGAGAGAGGTACAGGGTGGAAACCAGAGCGAGTGGCCAAAGTCTATTTGGAGTGGCCAAACTCCAGGTTCCCTTCCCTAGTCCCTGCCCCACAAGAGAGAAGAGGTTACTCCTTGGAGAAACTGGTCTGGAAAAAGTCTAAATGGGTTTACCAGTCTTAGCAGAAAGCAAGGGCAAAGGTACAGAGCAGAACACAGGGTGAGCAGGTCAAAGCTTGGAGGCCAAACATGGGACCTTCAACCCTTGCTCATGTCCTGCATCCAGATTCCAGAATTACCTGCTTCCTTGTCCCCCCTCTACCACTTGGGCAGGAAACTGGAAGACTCTTCCCTGGAGAAAAAAAGGGCCTCAAGGAAACAGATTTCAGAGACTAGGGATTCCAAAGCAGGGCTCAGGATGGAAAATGAACTAGGGATTCTCCAGAAGGGTGAACTTAGAAGGACACAGAGCTTAACACTGCTGGAAATTGAGTAGGAGGATATTTTTGTTTGCTTAATATTTAATATTTATTTATTTACATTATTTTTGTTTTTTATTTTTAAAGATTTATTTATTTTAAAGAGAGTGTGTGTGTGTGTGTGTGTGCGTGAGCCAGGGGGAGGGGCAGGGGGAGAAAAATCTTCAAGCTGACTCCCCACTGAGCGCTAGCCAAGCCCCACACAGGGCTCGATCCCATGACTCATGATATCATGACCTGAACCAAAACCAAGAGTCAGATGCCTAACTGACTGAGCTACCCAGGAGCCCCAATTTTTATTATTTTTACATTGAAGTATAATTGACACACAGTATTACATTAGTTTCAGGTGTACAATGTAGTGATTCAACATCTCTATACAGTAGGCCGTGCTCACCACAAATGCAGCTACCATCTGTCCCCACACGACACCATCATAGTACCATATGCCTTATGCTGTGCCTCTAACTGGAAGCCCACATCTCCTACTTACCTTCAGCCATTTTGTCCATCCCTCCACCCCCTTCCCTTTTGGCAACCATCCAGTTTGTTCTCTGTTTGTTTATGCACTTGTTTGGCTTTTTAGTTAGCAGGAGGACATTTTTAATGCAAAAGACAGGAGCTCTATCTCGTCCTGAATTTCAGGAAGCAAAGGGATGCCCAACTTCCTGGAGATATCCTGAAGACAGTGGAACACATAAATATACAGGAGAAATGTGTAGTTTCAGAAAAGGTCTTCATAAGAGCAATACAGCAGAGGGCAGTCTCTCCAAACAGAAAGTAGATCTCATTCCTACAAATGTGCTGGCTAGTTAGTTCCTTCCTTGGTCTGTCAGCCTGTCCATCTGTCCATCATCATACTGAAAATGGTATATCCTTTCAGATGTTACTTTGTAAAATAATGTCTTTTTTTTTTCTCAAGATTTTATTTATTTATTTGTCAGAGAGAGAGAGCGATCACAAGCAGGGGGAGTGGCAGGTAGAGGGAGAAGTAGGCTCCCCGCCGACCAAGGAGCCCGATGCGGAACTTGAACCCAGGACCCTAGGATTATAACCTGAGCCAAAGGCAGATGCTTAACCCCATCTGAGCCACCCAGGCTTTTTAAAATTATGAAATCTTGGGGCGCCTGGGTGGCTCAGTCGTTAAGCGTCTG